GATTTCATTGTGCGAGCTCTGGGTGAGACAGGGGAAATTGGAGGCAGTAGCAATTAATGAAATCAATTCTAAGATTTTACTGAGGTTAAGAAAGATATATTCATATCTAAGGAATAAAAGTTTTAAGGATAAATGCTTTGTGAATAATCAGACCTTTATGAAAATAAAATATTTTTAAATATTGTAATAGGAGTCTAGTTGTAACACCCCAAATTTTATTGGAATATTCTAATTAATTTATTTAATTGAGAATATTCATTTTTCGGTGATTTTTGGTGTTTTGTGAAGTATTGAGAATTAATGCATTTTTGGGTTATTTATTTAACTGATAGTATATAATATGAATTTATTAATATTATTATTAATTAAAATAAATATAAGTGAAAGAAGGGAAAATTGGACATTTAAGGGGAGTTAGTGAGGGTATTATGGGGAAAGCCCAATTGTTTGACCCAAGACTAGGTTTGCCAAAAAGGGAATTCTGAAGGGAATTAGGATTCATTTGTGAACCGTGAAAAATATTGAGGCCAGAGCTCTGGGGAGAGGATTGAAGGCAGAAGTTTCGAGAGATTCCCTTAAAGATTCGTGAAGGCTTTAAATCGACGATTAAGGTATTGGGAGTATAGCTTTTCATGATTTTCTATGTGTGACATTCGATGTATTTAAGGTCGATATAAGGTTTAAGGGATTTTGAGGGTAGATATGAGAAATAGTGATCTTTGACCTTCGTGGCCTAAATCGATTATTGGTGAATCTAACCGTGAGTTCAATGGGGAAAAAGGGAACCTAGGCCTTCGTGGCCAAAACCTTGAATTGTTATATGTTTGACCCTGTAGGGATAGGAATATTGGATAGTGAGTAATCCTAATTAGTAGGGTGTAATTGAAGGAAACATTGTGATTTAGGGCGTGAATATGATGTGGGATTGGCCTAATAAACTGTATGTTTTGTGCCTTCATCGCCGTAAGACCTTAGGGATGATTTAAGGATGTTTTAGGGGCATTGGGAAAGTGAATCGTAGAGCTTTTTGAGTGATTTTAAGTTCTGGTGCGTAGCAGAATTTGCTGTCATCGCACTGTTCGCCTAGCGAAGAAAGCTTCACCTAGCAAAGAGACTCGCCCCAGACTCGCCTAGCGAACATGGCAGCGAATGTAGCAGAGTTTCGCGAATATTGATCGTGTACAGCGATGCCTTGATGTTTAATTCTGTGATTTCTGTGATGAATTAACATGAGTATGACTGTGAGTTTTATGTGATGTGTACATGATTACATGATGATTTATATGATGTATTGATTGGAATACTATGATGATATTGCCATGACTTTGATGAATTATATGATGATATGAGATACGATGATGATTGTGATGATGATGAATATGATGAATGGTGATGCACCTATGTTGTTATTATGAGAATGATTATTGACGTGTGCATCATGCATTCATGTGCATCCGGGCTTCGGTTCAGGACCTCGATTACTTTGCCTTCAATCCCATTGTGTGGATGTGAAGTGTTTTGATGTGATCCAATTCTTTAGTAGAATCGATCCTATTGATGGGGATCTATGGAGGGTTGATGGTCCAGTGTCCATCGCGCTGTGATGATTTGTACCCCATGCATTGAGTCTTGTGGCATTTTGCATTTATGAGTCTTTTTGTATGAATTATGATGTTGTGGCCTTCAAGGCCTATTGAAGGATATGAATGTGTTGAATATGAACATGACGCCGTTTTATATGCTGATTTTTATACATTGATTATTATGAATCATTTTACTCACCCTGCTTGTTTGAATGTTACCTCCACGTGAGTAATGTGCAGATGACCAGGTTTAGCCGTGGACGTCGTCGATGATGTTTTTTTTTGAATTTTTAGAGTTGTTATCCTTTTAGTTAGCTTAGAGGGTCTTGCTCTGATATGTAACATCGAGTTGGATCCTTTTGAGTTAAACTATATCCTATTGAGTTATTTTGCTTATCTTCCCGTATTGAGGAAAACCTTGATTTATGTCGTTTGAGTTCCGCTGCTTTGTGAAATTTGACGTATTTTGGGAAAAACCGTTGCTTACGGAGCCTTGACCTATTTTGTTGATTTGGGAGATGTACGCCCTTTGTGGTGGCTTTTATAAAATTTAATCATTTACTCTGATATCTGTGTTATTTTGCCTTAATAATTGTGGGGTAGAAAAGGGTGTTACACTAATCCTCTAGAGGAGATGGAAATGTTAGACCCCTAGCCACTCTCAGATATATGGGGAACCCCTGTCCTCGAGGGCTTCAAACCTCCCTCATTAGCCAGGTTTGATGGACGCAACGATCCATATGAGCATGTCGCCTCCATCAACATACAAAAAGGCCATTAAAAGAGCTCCTGGCTCTCTGAAAGGTAAAATGATATCTGACACTTTCAAGGATGTCACCCTTAGATAGTATATGGGTTTACACTGAGCCTCCATCAACAGGTAGCAATAACTGGTGAGGAATCTAGTGAATGAATTTGCTGGCAGTTGCCACATAAATATGACTACCACAAGCTTGTTTAATATACGCCAAGGCCAGTCAGAATCACTGAAGGGTTACCTCACTCGCTTTAACGAGGCCAACATCAAGGTCATCCCACCAAACCAAAAAAATGTTCGTGGGGATGTTCCAAAATAAACTCAAGGTAGGACAATACCACATTTAGAAGGGTAGGTCAGGTGACAAAAAACTTCACGCCTTTGAATACTCGGGGCGTGCAGATCTGGCGCAAGGTTCTCCACTTGTACATCATCTCTATGTGGTCTGCTCCTAAAGAGAACGTGATGGATTATGAGTCGAGAAGATGGTGCATGTTCCATAGAATCAAGGGACATAACATTGAAGATTGTTGCCAGCTTAAAAAGGAATTTGAGAGACTAATACAGAAGGGGCACCTCGAGAAATATGTGAAAGGCGACTCCTCGCATTCAAAGGACAAGTCTAACTCACGAGAGCGAGTCAACTATGGAAGCCCATGCCCAATAAAGCTAAAGAAGTACCTCAGGGTGATGGTAGTAAAGTTGTGCGCCATATTCTCAACACCATAGCAGGAGGATTCGTCGGGGGCGAAGAAACTAGCTCCGCTCGAAAATGGTACACTTGCCAAGTCCTGAGTGTAGAAAACCTCCCTAAAGTCGAGATCAAAGGCAAATACTAAACGACAGAAACCATGATCACCTTCTCGAAGGAAGATGCAGCTGACATCAACCCCCATAATGAAAACCCCATGATTATTACTGTTAATTGCGAAGATTTAGAAATTAAAATAGTTCTCGTCGACCAAGGGAGCTATGCGGACATACTATACTGAGAGGCATTTGAAAGACTTCACCTCGACCTAAAAGATTTGAAGCCTTTACGAAGTCTCACATGAGGGACTCAACTATCTAAATCTCGCATGAGGGACTTGATTATCTAAGTCTTGCCTGAGAGACTCAACTATTTATGTCTCGCTCGAAATAAATAACCTTATGTCTGATTGAAATTACTTCGCCCTTTCCAAGACCTTATGCTTGAGGGACTATGTATTAGGATAAGTTTATTGGACACAACCATTAGAAAAAACGAACTAAATGCATCAATGTTGGATGAGTTCCTGAAGCTGGGCCTGACCACCCGATCTGGAATCCATGATCCATTTTGTTTGTTAAATGTGGCCCATAAGATATTAAAAAAAGAAAGGTTCCAAAATATTAAGATTAAGGAAGGGAGTTGTTCCTTATATAATGGCGGAAGAATTAGTCTTCCACTACGCTCACTATCCATCCTATGAAGCTTTATATAAATATCTCAATCTTATGCAAAATCACTTATGCAAAAATTTCTTACAACCTACAAGCAAACTCTCAACTTCATTGTATTTTTTATTTTATACTTTTTAGCGAGTACATAAATCAAAATAAATGATTTTTGAAATAATAAAACAATTTTTTAAACATTTTTATTATTTTAAAAAATGAACACAATTATTCACTTAAAGACTCCAATATTAGCAATTGTATTATATTATATGAAAAGCGGGTGATATAGATAAATTGGTTTAAGGAATGAAACGCAAAATGCGAAGTCGTTTCGAACAATTTAAACTCCAACAAGCATTCCGTAGGACCTTAGCAGTTAATCTTGACATTATTTCCCTAAAATCACAGATTTGGATTCCAATCCTTTCTCTTCCCTAAAATCAACGGCGCCGTACGTTCTCATCTCTCTTCAGGTACCTCCACACTTGTTTAACCTAATTATCTTTCCCAATTTCGATCTAATCGCATATTACTCAATTCAAATTATGCTTTTTCATTTTCTGTGTTATCTGATACCGAAATTCATTATTGATTGTACTACATGTAGGCCAAACCATTGAATGATACTTGGGTTTATACTGTCTGTTGTTAATAGATATAATTCATTATAATGTATTATAGCAATGTGTGATTTGAGCATGTAGAGAACAAATCTGTTGATTTTGCGGTCAAGAGAGTAGATCATAGGGAGAGGACTCAAACAATTAGAGATAGGTGAAGATTTAGAAAAATTATTAGAGAGGCTATTAAAAAAAATGTCAAGATTAACTATTTGGATGAAAGCATCATCCTGGATAAAATATTATGGCGAAAGTTGATTCATGTAGGCGACCCTACTTAATGGGATAAGGCTTGGTCGTTGTTGTTTTACTTTTTTTTATTTTTTAGATTAAATATTTTGATAAGAATAATAACCAACGGGTTTGTTTAGTGAACTATGTACGACTTTAACTTTATTGATGTGTGGTTTCTGGACAGTGTTTCCCCCTTTTATTTATTAGTAGAATAGCAGATTAGTATTTTTCTGAGAATTGGTGCAGTTTTACTATTTTGGTTTTATAATAATATAAAATTTTTTCATTTACATATATACCAGTGAATTTGTGATATGATATTTTTACTTTGTTGAAATTTTTTTACAATTTCGTAATGACGATATGCAGTAGAAGTAGTATTCTATGGCTGCCTTCAAAGCATTTTGGAACAGTCCAGTTGGTCCTAAAACATCTCACTTTTGGGGACCTGTTGCTAATTGGGGATTCGTCGCAGCTGTGAGTTTCGCTCCTATGATTATCTGGTTATGTTATTAACAAAGTACTGCATTTATTTACTTGACTTAGTATACAAAAATGGTCTTGTTTTAGCTTTTGGTTTTTAAGCTAATATGCCAAACTTTTTTGTCATATGGAAAGGGTTTGGCTGACATCAATAAACCTCCAGAAATGATCTCTGGCAACATGACTGGAGGTTTGACATCTCTCCTTTCATAAAATGTTGAAATTCTTCTTAGCATATTGGTATGTGGATTAATTATTATTTTTATTTATTATTGCAGCAATGTGCGTTTATTCAGCATTGTTCATGAGATTCGCATGGATGGTACAGCCACGTAACTATCTACTTCTTGCATGTCATGCTTCAAATGAGACGGTTCAGCTCTATCAACATACCCGATGGGCTAAGGCAGAAGGGTAAGCACACAGAAAACAAAATAATGAACTCAACCTGTTCTATTTGCCGTTACTTTCTGTGACAATAATGTTTCACATCTTATAAATTTCCACTGTATCTCAATCTGTATTGGTCTTCAAGTGTTATGCTAGTTTTTTTGTGACTGAATCGAGCGATAGATGTTGGATTACTGATAAAAGTTTGTATCTCTTGCAATTTCTTTTGTAGGTATCTCTCTGGGAAGAAGGAGAAAGAAACTTCATCAGAGTGAACACAGTGATTTGAAAAGATTATATTTGAACTTAACGGTACATGAATAATTGATTGCATGAAAGGGCTCGTGGAACCTGTAAAAGATTTAAAATTTTCCGAGTGTTTATTTTTACAAGGATTATAAAAGGCTTGATTGCATTTGATCCGATCCGGAACTTTTGGGCCAGAAATCAAACTTTTATATTTTGACGGGGCGTAAGTCTTTTATCATCCATAAAATTTATATCCGCATTGCTCAACCATGGATATGATTCTTGTTACTGCCTGTTGTCTACACTGTTGAAACATTTATGAACTTTTGAGTGCACTATTCAAATGTCTACTCTCTTCAATGACATCAATACTTCTTCTTTGTAGAAATCTCTTCTACTCCAGTTGCATGATTCTCTATAATACTGTCAAATAAATAAATGAGACTGGATTTTTCTTGTGTCTTAACATCCATGTAGAATGATAATAACAATACAAGGGACATCTCAACAGTTTCTGTATAATCATGTAAAGGTGGATGAAAAACGAGTAATGTGTATGTGCCTAAAAAACATAATGGATTAAAATTAGTTTTAGAGTAAAGCACCCAGGGTCCTGATAAAGGTTTGTCAAATTGAAACCTAAAATTTGTGAAACATAAAAAAATCGATCATAACTGAAGATCTAATGGAGAATTTAAGATGATCTTCTCTTCTATTCCATAAGAGTGAGGTGTTTCTGCAAATACTATGACACTTAAATCAGTGACACTCGGAAGTGTGAGATTTTAGGTTATAATAGTGTGTATAATGTGATATAGGTTTATCCATTTGTATTCCATGCCACAATGATAAAAACATTGGGTATTGTTAATGGTTGAAAACTGATTTTTATAATTAGTTTTAACTTTAAAGTGAAACCATAAGAGTTCATTTTAGACAGAATCTCTTCATTGTGTTTTGTTAATGGTTGAAAACTGATATTTATAATTAGATTTAACTTCACTGTGAACCATAACATTTCATTTTACGCAAAAACTTTTATTCTACCTAAAGTTTCTTCATTTTGCATCCTTCTCCTCATTTTCAATTTTCAATTGGGGAACCTTTTGAAAATCACTAATACCTTTCTCAATTTTTTTTGCCAAATCCCTAACACCACATTTTCCCCCAATTAGTGCTTCTTAGTTCCAGTCACTCTCCAAATTTTAGTAGTCAAGCTTTCCTATCAAATAGGACAACAATAATGCAGAGATTATCTGTGAGTAGACTGATGATCATATCTCAAAAACCATGTGTTGGAGAATTTGGGGAGTATCGAAAGTGTCAATAAACTAAACGTTTAGGATCTAAGAGATCTTGATATCACATATCCACCATAAACTTTAAAGCGACAAGTGTATGAGTCATTTCTTTACTTATTATAGTTGATGTGAAAATTAACCACTCACACATAAATTCTATGAGATATTGTATCACCACGTATGTAGGAGTAATATATATTGGATTGAGGCACCATAAATACTACATAATATATTATCAATCTGTCATATTTTTATTCTCATAGTGATATTAATATATGTCACAATTTCATCTAAAATTACTATAGTTCCTATTTGAGGAGTTTATTACTTTAGTATCATTAAACGCTGTCTCTAACAATCCAATTATAAAGTTGGTTGACTAGATACTCAACGAGTCATGTGGAGACACATATGTGATTTAGATGATATTTTTTTCATTTACACATGCAAAATCACTATCTAAGAATTTATTGATCGAGTATGACTATAAAATGCATGATTATGTAGAAATAAGTCAGTATAAGATAATGAGTTTATTTATTGTTATTAAATATACTCTAATATCAAAAAGTATATATATATTATGGCAAAACGGTAATTATACACAATATAAAAATGTTGTGTCAAATTGCAAGAGATTTTCGTAACAATAATATATTATGTTATTAGACATCACTCTTTATTTATAATATTAAATAAATAATTTAATTTATTTATAATATTAAAATAAGTAATTTAATATTATTGTCAATAGAAAAAAAAATCTCCATAATCATATACATATGGACAAATAAAGGGGAGTTCAAATAAATGAATAAAATTTATTTATGATTTAGTGGTATATTCTTATGATGCATCCATGCTAATTAAAGAAACCGGTTATACTGTAAGCTAGAATGTGTATATGTCATTTTATAAATATAACATTTATACTAAAATGACACACTTATTTTGAAAACACTAGCCTCTTACTTGGATTACGAGTTTGTATTTTCTTTAAGACTTCAATTCGTTCACAAGTAGTATTAAAGACTGAAGAATCATTTTATTAGGATGGATTGAGTTGAAATGTTATAGTTCATATTGTGCTCATGATTAATCTATTTCAACGATCAAAAGTTGTGCATTACAAACGATAATCAATCAATCTCTAATTCATGACTATTTGTAAGGATTTATTGTAAGAGAAATTTTTTTGTATTTTAACAGATGAATTCATCACGAGTTAACTTCATTATATAGAGTAGAAATGTTGAAACAATGTTGGACAAATTGCAAATGTCAAAGAGGTTAGGTAGATGAATTTGTAAGAAGTAGTATGACCAGTTAGGTTAAGAAGCAAATAAGAAGTAATATGCGCAAAACTACACTTTTGTTTAATCATTTCAAAATTAATTATATTAATATTAAGTTTTTCTTTCAACCTTTTATGTATGTGAATTTTCTTTCAACCTTTTATGTATGTTAATATACGTAAATAAATTAAATTTGTCGTTGTAGCTAGACAAGCTTTACTCTAAAAATCTAAAAAGAGAAAATAGGATACACAATGTAAATTGATTTTACATTATTAATCAATAACAATAATATATTTTTTGTCATGTCAATTTAATATAATAATATAAAATTATTAATATAATATAATAGAGTGATAAATTTTTATTTAATAATAATATAAAATTATTTAATCAATGAAAATACATATTTTGCTAGGTCAATTTAAAAAATTTAAATTATTAATATAATATGATAAAATAATAAATTATTATTTAATAATAATGTAATATTATTTATACGATCGTATATGTTACTAGTAAACTAAATTTAAAATTAGTTAGATTTATTAAATATGATGAATCTATTGTTTAGGTTGATAAAGTGATGACGAAGTCAAACGAAGTTCCATTATATACCTTATTTTTGTACCTAGTAATTTTAACAAATCTATTCAATTGCATCGTAAAAATATTCAAACAATAAAAATAAATATTTTATTATCCGCTTAATTTCATTACATTTTATTTTACTCCACTTTATTGTTTTAAAAATATTTAAAATATAATACGAATAATTTTTTATAATCAAATAGTTTAAATGTTCATGTTTGACCTACGCCCCATAAACTTATCAACTAAACTATGTTACTAATCAATCATCTAATATAAACAAATGTCACTAATGAAAATTTTATTATAAAAAATTATAAATTTTGAAAAAACATTGAATCAAATTATTTTAAAATATTAATTTATAATAATATTTTAAAAATAAAAATATAATACGATAGGATACACGTCTATAGGGTAAAAATATTTTACGATATTTTTTTTCTTCTATTATTGATAATGAAAAGTAGCTAGAATTAAACAAGTAAATTTCTCCCAAAATGAAAAAAAAAAAAAAAAACAAGTAAATAACAAAAGTAAAGAAGAGGAAGAGGGTTGAAGTAAATCCCAGAAAAAAGGTTTTTGAAGAAAATCGAAATGGACGCCGTCGTCACCGCCACCGCCACCCCGACGCCGACGAGAGTAACCGAAGACGAAGAAGATATGAAACCCTGGGAGCAGCATTCCGGCGTAATCAGACTCCCTCGTTTCGACTACAATGCTCCGTCTTCTCTTCTCTCTCACTCTCATTCCGCCTTTCTCATCACCTGTACAATCAGTATGTTCTTCTTCTTCTTCTTCTTTTACTCTCATTCATTCATGAATTAATCATTGACCTAATTTCGCTTGGTTCTCCAATTTCGATTTTCAGAACGAGAGAAAAGCGCTACTAAAGAAGCTATTACAATCCTTCATAGCTTCATCAATGGCGATCAACACTCTTCCGAAAATACTGATAGTGCTTCCAAGAGAAGGAAAATATCCGCACCAGAAACTGCTGTCAAAGAGGAAGGAGTTACCGATCTTTCTTTGGTTAAACTCATAAGAAATGGATTGGTACTTTTTATCTTTCCTAAAAATACATTTCCAGACACAGTTGGAATTGTATCTAATATTATTCAGGCTTTGGAGTCTGGGAAGATAACTTTCCCGGCGTAAGTAAATCATCTCTGGTTCGAGTTATTGTTAGTTGAATTGTTGTTTAGTATGCAAATCATGCTGCCTCTTCTGTTTGAGGCGCTATGTACGTTAAGTTAGCCATAGTTCAAACATGATGAAACAATTAGAGGCCTTATTTAATTATGTTTTAATAGTGACAAAGATTTTATGAGGCCCTTTATATTTTAACCCTGACAAATTTTAGGCTCTGTGCAACACAGCCCTGGTTTCATTTATCCCTTATTACATGTGCCCTTCTACATTGCTACCTAGGAATTAAGAAATGGCAATTATCTTCACTAACATAGGCAATAGGCACGAGGCACGGACACACTATACAGACACGACGTAGACACCTCAACAATACTTTTTGAAGTGATTGAGTATAACCATGTCTCAGGGTCATGTATTGGATACTGGACACACTTTTAATTTGAAATGTTGGCGCTAAATAGAGAATTATTAAAAAGAATAGCTAAGCGCTGCCAATATGTTGTTGGTACAAGCGAAAATTGATTAATAGTAAGTGGTTAACAATTAGACCAACTGATTCACAGCTTGTCATCTCTCCATTCTCTTTTGCCCATACATTTTGCCTCTTTTCACTTTCCGTTTTGGGACTCTCCCAATTAGGATTTCCTTCTATTGAGTTTTCTACTTTTATTTTCTATATATTAAGAAGTTGAGAAAATATGCTAGCAAGAAAAAGGTAGCAACCATGTGAATAAGAGAGAATTGTTTGAAGAGTCTAGCCAAGTCAATAGGTAGCTAAAAGGGGATTGATAAATTGTAAGACCCTTATTGGATAAAGATCTTAATTTGTAGCTATAACATAAGTGTCAGATATCTCTATAGCAAAATATAAGTAAAGTTAAATTGTTTTCCTATAAGCTATAAGCTATTTTTGTAAACTATCTTGGAGAACTTATGAAGATAAGTTGAAAACGGCTTAGGCACATGTTCTAGCTGTTTTCATTAGTTCTCTCAAACAGCCGCGCAAAACTTATGCTAGTAGATAAACTTAAATAAGGCAATCCAAACCGACTTTAAGTGATTAACAATTATGTGAACTGGTTTACTCCCTCTCATTCCTCCATTTTTGTATGTAAAATGTACATTAAGTAAAATAAAATTGACAGAAAAAAAAGTTTTGTGTTCTTTTCTTTGTTTGAATTTGTTAAGAAATGTGGTTGGGTCTAACTCAACCCTACAAAACCGGTTGGTAGAATGAGGATTACCCCCACTTATAAACACATGTTCATGCCATATATTGTCTGATGTGGGACTCTTAACACACCCCCTCACGCTCAGGACTGGACATCTGAAGCGTGGAGTGGCATGAACATGTATGTATTTATAAGTGGGGGTAATCCTCATTCTACCAACCGGTTTTGTAGGGTTGAGTTAGACCCAACCACATTTCTTAACAGTATTTACATGTTTTCTATTGGTTTATGGAAAGTAAATAGCTTTTATTTTACGTAAGTCTTAAGTATTGCTGTGGTTGATGCTTCTTGTGCTTGTTCATACCTAGTCATCTACCTATGTGAGGCAGAGTTGAAACTTGATATAGGATTGAGGCTTCATTGTAGACTGGGTGGAATGCCTTTCACCTGTAACCATTAGACATGCTCTTAAGCTGAGTTGCAATATTCTTGTATGCTTGTTCCATTCATATATCTTCGGTGTCATTGTCCATTTTGTATACTATGGTTCTTTTCTTTCACCTATTTTTTATTTTATTGCTTACAATGGTATGCTCTTGTTCATTTTCTTTTTCCTCTGTTGAAGGTGACAGAGTAGAACCGAATTTGGAGATGGTGTGATTTTTGTATGGAAAATTAGTAAATAATACAAACTCTGATTAGATTAGAGTTATAACATCAACTTAAAGATGGCTACAATTCTTTATTATTTGTAAAACGTACAAAATACCTTCACTTTTAACACCCATTTGTCAGTACCTTGCTCACATCACAGCATATGCTTTTAGAACGATTGATAAAAATATAGACCTGCAAATTCTATTTTTGAGTTGTTTGTATTGGGTGGAGTTGTGTCATATATGCAGGTTGATGGACATATACTACAAATTCCCCCTTCTTTTTGGTATTAATAGTCTGCAACTTTCTCTGCTGCAGCTGGTGCCATCGCATTTTGCCCATCCAAGGTACCTGTAGTTTGAACGAAAAAGAACTGCATGAAGTAGTATCGGTGCTTGTTAAAAAATTTGTGGATGCTAAACAGGACAAACTAGAACGGCCGTTAAAGGTTCAACTCATCATTATCTTTTAGTCGCAAATGAGTCATGTTTTTCATAAGCTAACATTTCTTATAAATGTGTTGGAAGTAGCGTACATATTAATAATTAAATGACACAATTGGAAAAATAACAATCTCTCTACATTAAAAAGTGAGAACGATATTCATTTTGAAACAAATTTTATTTACTAAAATAACAATCATTTTGAAACGGAGGGAGTATTTCTTAAGTGATTTAGAGATTACGATTAAATAGGTAGTTCCAAATAAGTTTCAGGCAAATTAATTCATACATATATGTTTCTGCTATATGGTAGAATATTATGTTAGAAAATATCTTATGTTTGATGTGCATGTGCAATGACTCTGTAGTTTGCTGTTGGATTTAACCGAAGAGGTATTGAAGAGACGAAGTCTGCGAAAGAAAATTTAAATGGTTCTAACAGTTTGCTGGATCGCAATAAATGCTTTGAAATAGTGGCTACCGCTGTCAATCATGTTGTGAAAAATTCAGTAGTGGATCTCAGGTCTCCAGAGGTAAAAAGATGCTGTAGTGTACTGCATTAAACAAATTATAACTCTTGGTAGGTATCCACATTTCTCCCAACATTTATGCATATGTTTGAATAAATACTTTGTTTTGCAGCTATCTGTTCTTGTTGAGGTTCTACCCCTCTCTGGAGTACCTAATGGGTCCCTAGTGGCTGCTGTTTCTGTTCTTCCTAGCAACCTTGTTAGTACTAAGCCTAAACTCTGTGTCAAGGCCCTTAATTCTAATACTAAGGAAGGGTTTGTGGCTCAATGAGAATGACTGATTCTATAAGTAGGGGGCACGGTTGTATTATCAATGTCAGGTTGTTATCCTGGAAATATCTGGTGGGTTTCTTATGAACCTGTAAATGGAAATTGAAAGAACCAACAGTGCAATGAAATCCCTCCTAATGTACTATTTTTCTCACACTTGCTAACAAGTTAAAGCTGTGGTACTTTTGCTTTACTCAACCTATTTATGATGTGGCTAACTTGTTATTAATTGTGATTTGTGAACTCAAGCAGAATATCGCTTTGTTCAAAGCTGAAGCTGTATGTTACTAGCTTTCTTTCCTTTGTTTATTTAGTGGTTTGTGTTATGTAACGTTGCTTAAAGAATGAAAATAGTACCTGTCATTTTTTTCAATTATGTGCTGATGTTGAGGGTTTCCATGATTCTTGAAGGAGTAATAACCGTTTGACAAGTATGCGTCTTAAATATTAGGACATTCTCTTTATATTCTTTTAGGAGATTAAGATTCCATTTTCATCTTAGAATATCTTGTTTGATAAAAAAACTTAGATTATCTAGAAGAGGAGAAAATTCCGAGATACCCCAAGTCTATCATTTCGAAAGTCTTTATAATGTCTTCTTCAAACTTTTTAATCACATTCTCTCACTGTCTATCATCTCAAAGATTGGATGAGAGGCTAACAAAATCCAGGTAATTGACCGTGATTTTTCAATCCAACCATTCATCCAAATATGCATTAAGCGAATTAAACTTGAGGGGGAGTCTTTAAGAACAAGAAGTCTCACATTCATTAAAACTGAAGATAAAATAGAATGAAAATGAGTCCATATTCTCATCATTGGGCTCACACATATCAGTGAAAGTTGGGTGCAAGTGCAACCTTAGTATTATTACTCTTACGAAATTTCTTATCTCACGCGAGGGGAAAAAACATTATGAAAACTTAAAAATATTTCAAATATGAATTTTTTGACATACTCTTTTCATTAATATATAACATATTAAATGAGTGTCATTTCATACTAAAACAAAATTTTAAATCTGGAGATGCATCTCTAGACATTTTCATTCACTTTATTAATTATTGAACAGTTCAATGGAGTTTATAGAGATGTATTTTCGTAGTTTTGGACTCTTGTCTCATGTTTCATATAAAAACACATTACAGTAGAATGAACATCAACTGTCGCAAATGTCTACTTTAACGGTGCGACACCCTGGCGAAAATTTATGATCAACAAGTAAATCTCTTTTCCATATATGTAATACATAATGCAAAATCTCCTATGTTACAGATACAATAAAAAAAATTATGAAACTCGAGTATTGTTCACCGTCAATTGAAAACGAAAGTAAGATTGAGTTCTAACAATTATGAGTTGAAGACGGATGCAGATGTAAGGATTATGTGAAATACTTTTTTTCTTTTTGAATCAAAAGTTTTGATTGCGGTGGATTTGATAATTTCAAGATCGGTCGAATATATTATGAAAATGTTGAAATGCTCACCTAAATATTAAAATGTAATGTTTGATTTTATGTTAATATCACATATGTAATGTTGATTTTATGTTAGCAATAGTAATTTTACTCTTAACATTAAACTTTATGATTCTCTGCTATTATGTTTTTGTTTTAGTATGTTATAGAAATGCACCAACAATTAGTTAACAAAGATGGATTTTCATATGGAAAAAAAAAACACAATTCTAAGACGTGACTTAAAATTAGCTTTGGTTATATGCGGATATTATTGTCTTTTCACAAGGTGTCATAATAAATCATATGATGATGCATTTAAAAATCCCCTTTAAGTTATATGGAATTTTTGGAAATATCTCTTTTGCAATGCTTGGATTATAAAATTCAGAAACACTACATATTATAAGAGAGCTCAATTACATTCAAAATATACCAAATGTACAAATATTCATGTTCAAAATTTAAAATTCAAACACGTTCGAGAAATTCCGACTCACCACATATTATAAAAAAGCTCAAGTTCATTCAAAATATACCAAATGCATAAATATTCATGTTTGAAATTTGAAATTCAAACACGTTCGGAAATTCAACCTAATAAAAAATGCATTTAATGATCAAATAATTTTGTCCAAATTTTGAAATTCATACACATCACATATTATAAGAGAGCTCAAATTCACCTGAAATACTCCCAAAACTCTAAAATCTATTATGCACCTCCGAATTTTGAAATACGAGAGAAGCATTTTGGAAATTCAAAATTAAGAGTAATAATTATGAGCAACACCCATGGTGGAAACATCTGAGAGAAGCATTTTGGAAATTCAAAATTAAGAGTAACAATTATGAGCAACACCCATGGTGGAAACATCTCAAACCCAGTTTGTGATCTCTAAAAGATGGTATGGTATTGCTGCTCTTAGGTTGGGGCAAAGCTTATGAACCTGTTTGGATAATTTAGTACATTTGGATGGATGTTGAATTTGACATAGTTGCAATGCACTACAATTTTGACATATGTATGCTATAACAAGTCAAATTTGCATTTTCATTAGATAAGAGTATGCTAACCCAGTTTCTAAATTTGTTGCATCTCAATGAGTCAAAGAATAAACTTCTTTAGCAATCAATCACGTAACGCATGATTTTTGGATAACATTGCTTTATACTATTCCAATTTCAATATAGATAGTAGTGGTAACTTTTCTAAGCACCCATTAATTTGGGTATTAATAATATCTAGAAAGTCTAGATAAAACCAAAAAACACATTGAAAATAAACTAGAATTCTAATTAAAAACCCAACCAACCAAGCAGTGAGTGAATAGGGAACAAGAAAAGTACCAAAAACTGTAAACAAAGAGAATAAAGAGAAAATCCTACAGTAAAGTAGCATCAAATCAATTACCACATATGGCTAAAGATAGGTCTAAATTAATCTTTGCTTTAACACTACTAGATGTTCTATAGCAGTCTTTAGAAGGAGTTGTCCAGCATGAAATTGCCTCACTGATTTCACTTGCCGAATAACAACCATTACTTGTCTGAGCTGAACCATTTTGCAATGTTAGTGACAATGACAACTCATCTCCTCCTTCACTTTCAACTTCTACATGTGCTTTGTCAGTTTCCATAACTCCTTTCATTGACCATGAACCCCTCTTTTTCTCATTTCCATTACCAACCTGTAAAAAACAACATACACATATATACATAATAAGCTTTCCAAAATAAAAGTACAAAGGGACCAAAAAAATCTAACCACTTTTTTAGGCTGATTAATTGTTTCCACATAGAATATCAATATTTATGTTGACAATTTCTCTCTTAATTTCAAACGTGGTTTTCAAAAAACCAACTCGTAGAATAATGGAACCAACCATTAGGGATAACAAATGAAAAAAAGTCCGTCCGGCCCGTTTAGACTCGTTCCAGAAAAAACAACAAAATGTCTGTGTTCAAAAAAAACTTAAAGAATGAAGATCTAAAACCTTGATCCCGAAAAAGTTTGGACAAATCGAACAAAAGCAATACAGGGTGGACACAATTTGCCATACCTACCTTTTCACAACCGTAGAAGCAAGGTGTCATAAATATATAGAAAACATTCTAAAGGATAAGAGAATGCAATAGCAGCTGAAAAACCAACAGTTAGGCATTAACGTGGATCCCAAAGTTTAAGGGTATAGTAATAAATATTGGAGAGGCAAAACGTAAGATTAAGATCTTACTGATCAAAAGTGAAAGTGTTAGGAAATGAGTATATACTGCTACTATAGCTATAGATATAGCTATAGATATAGATATAGCTTATAGCATGCAGTGAAATAAAACCTAAAACCAACACAACACTCAACTTGTTCATTCATTCACCATAGGAAAATTAAAAAATAATTGACTCACTCACCTGAGAGAAATGAGATGGTTGGTTTGGAGATTTGAAAGAAGTGATGCCAAAATGTGGTTGAATCTTTCTCTGCCATCCATAAAACTTTTCTTCATCTTTTATTCCTTTTTTCTTGTGCAGCAGTTCATGGTCATAAAAGCAGTACGGATTTGTTATTGTTACTGCACCACCATCATCATCATCATCACCACATGTTCTTCTTCTTTCTCTGCGTTGCACCAGACTAGTTGTTGTTATAGAACTTCTCTCGATTCTAGCTCTGATCACAAACAGTAGTACAATATTATCCAAATCAAAAGGAATTTCTTCAAGAAATAATAATACTATCAATAATAAAGTTAAAGTAATGGTAGCTCAGAAAAGTAAAAGATCAACCAAATACCTATAATCCTTTTTGTTTCTCTCCCACTTTTACTCCATTAACTTTATTTTTTGTGTGTGAAAAGTTTGAAATTATTGTTTCAAGGGTAAAGTAAAGTTACCTTTTAGAGAAGATATTGCTGTTGCCAAGGAAGGAATCAGATTCTTCTCTCATGAGTTTTGAACATGAATGTTCATTCACTTCATCAACACATCCATCATCATGCTCTTCAAAACATTGGTTTCTACCTGACGAACACAAATAATAGACCTATACTATAAATGTTGCTGATTCATGAAAATGTACATACCAATAGAAGAAAATTTACAAGGACATGAAATTTTTTATTCTTGTTACACTATTTTGGCATGAACTAAATGCAAAAAGAAAGCAATAAATGAGTATTGTAGTTTTAGATTTCCCGGTTTTGGATAGAGAAAAGTTTGTTTTGGAAGTTCAAATAGTTACTAAGAGAAGAAAGAACAAAGTTGCATTGAATGCAGAGAAAGAAACAAAGCATGCACAAATTTTTTGATAGGACATAAAGAGAGAATATTGACCTTGTCTTCCCATTTCACCTCTCATGCTTCTGTACATCTGGAGATGGCTTTTGACATGTGAAATGGTGAGGCCTTTGACATCCATCAACTGAAGAACAAGTTTAGGAGTAGCCTCTACAAAGAGAAGAACCGTTAGAAAAACGGATCCATGAAAATTAGAGAGATTAAAAAGAAGAATTGAAAAAAACAAACTTTGATGGCCTCCAAGAGTATGAATGGCAGTAACAAAGCAACGGTGAAGTTCAGGAGTCCATCTGAGACGAGGGACTTTTGATCTTATATACTGTCTCACTGCTCCTCCTACACCTTCTCTTCCACAGCTACTAGTCATTTTTTTCTTCCTTTGAAAATATGGGGTTGTTTGTATATTTATATATAGAGAGAGGAGAGGGAATCCAGGTAGGAGAGAGAGGGGAATATTGAAAATGAAAAGACGAGGGGAATATGGAAGAGAGGTCTGCAAATTCCTTTAGGACATTGGTGTCAACTGATAATACCTGAACCATCTCATGGTGGTTGCTGTACTGCTTTTATTTTCTTTTCTCTGTGTTGCCAATCACAATTATAACACAAATGCTTGGCGTATCACAATAAAAGTGTGAATAAAAACAAACAAAAAACTTAAACAATTCATTTTAGAGGTTATGTGTCAACTAGCAGTCACTTTACAATATCTAAATATTTTAAAATTTAAGAAAACACAGTTATTTGATTAAAATTATGCAATTTTTTTTTATAATAACCAAGTATCGGTTGGTTTTTAAAAAAAAATATAAGTTTCAAAAGATTGTCGTAAATGACACAAAATTAATCTTATGTCGCCGGATGAAATGACGACAGAGTGCAAAGGTTATTTTGGATGAAGTAAATCGCCAACTTGATTGACATCTTTGTTCATTTTTATGGTGACTCGTCAATTTGATTGGCGACACAGGCTTAGGGTTTTTAATTTTTCGTTTTCAAAATTAATTATTATGAAATCATAATTAAAATATAGGATTAATTCTTAAGTTAATTTTTTTAAATAATAGACACAATTATTATTAATATTTTAAATTTTTTCATGTAATGTTAAAATAAAGTTTTAGTAAAAATAATTAATAAATTTAAAATAATTAGGTTTAAATAAAAATTATTTTAAATTAATTTTAATAAGTTTAGGTTTAATTAAAAATAAACTTATTGATTTTATAAATTTAGGTTTAATAAATATTGTTTTTATACATTTGGGTTTAATATAAATTTAATTGTGATTTAAATTGATTTAAATTTTAAATTTTAAAACATAATAAATATATGATTAACCATTGAATTTTAAAATGTATAAAGTTTGTAAGGGTATTTAAGACATATCATATGGGGCGCGTACTATTTTATTTTTCTATAAATACGACTACAAACACATATATGTTTTCACAATATTGTATACCAAAAGACTGAAGCGTTAGTGCATTTTGAGTGGAGTGGAGTCTATAATGTCTGCATTTCTAAATCAACGTTGTTCGTCGTCGTCATCAGCATCAGAGGAACCCTTTCCAACATTCGATCTAATGAAACGAAATGTCGTAGTTGTCTTTTCAGCAAGAAAGCCTCTGACGAAGGTGCTCCTGTGGAATACGCAAACGTTGGAGCACTTGCACAGGGAACTGAACCGCTGGCTAGAAGGAGATATTGGTCCGGGAGAAAAGATTAGGAAAATTGAGAGGTTGGTCGAGGAGACCGGGAGAAACGGAGTTACTCGAGAATGGAGAAGAGTGGGAAATGATGTCGGTATCCTTGTGATGATGTTAACACCAAAGAAGATAAAGTTGATGGTCGTGATATCGTAGACGCCTTGGTGCAATGTTCTGTTTTATGTCTTTATGTTGTTGTTATGTTTGTTTATGTTGCCTTGGTGCAGTGTTCTATCTTTATGTTGTTGTTATGTCAGTTAAGTATGAGGGACACGGTTACATATGGAACTATGACCTGCTGCTTGATCCTACGTTAGGACATTTTGTACGATTGTGTCCTGGTTGTCGACACGAACTACACAATCTTACCCGCTTGTCTGCGATATCCATCTTCGTTCGAATGTGCGTGTTGTTAGGCCGACCCTTTTTCTTTTTGCGCATCAAGTCGTTATGCCAAACAATTTCGCCTTCGTATTGAGGCTAATAGTCCTCCTTTGCCACCACCTGAAAGCTACATGTGTAGACATTGCATAGACTTATCACTTGGTGAACTGCGGAAAGAAGGTTGGTTGGGTCTTGACGCGCCTTCGAACACGCTGCTATAACATGAGAGCAAGGCATACATAATGCTTGAAACTTCCCATAATCACACCAGTTCTTATCCAACTCAACACGGTAACATCCCTTAGGCCTTCCTTCGTTGTGATCAATAGACTTGGCAGCACTGAACCAACCAACTGTACGGTCAAAGATTATGACGACATGTGTGTTGGCTTTGGCAGCTTCATCTTTCATGAATTTTATTGAAGTATCACTGTACAGCTGACCCGATTGTAATACTGAACCCCACTTCGTACGTCTGCTATCAAAGAGTGATCCTAGCCTAAAATAGGTTGTCTTTTCCAAGGCAGTTATCGAGAGGTTTCAGATTCCCTTGAAAAAAGAATCCATTGATCGACGAGGTTAGTTGTCATGTGGCCCCATCGCACCCCGTTGTCGTATGCTCGCGTCCATTTCTCTCTATCAATGTTATCAGTCCATCTTAATGCATCCGCGTTTGTTAGTCTGATCTCGTCACGGTAGTATTTGAATATGGGTTCTGTTAGTGCATATCCTGCGTTCACAACCTTCTTCCGTAGCGTCTTGTCTTTGATTTCCCGCATGAAATTTTGGGCAATATGCCTTATGCAATAGACGTGGGTCGAGAGAGGATCCTGCCAACCGTTATCAAGGTTGTTGTATGCACTCTCGATTGATGGGTGTCGATCAGAGATCAAACATAAGTTAGGTTGAGGAGACACGTAAGAGCGAAGATTTTTTAAGAAAAAACTCCAACCCCCAGCAGTCTCCCCTTCTACTATAGCGAAGGCTATTGGAAAAATGTTGTTGTTCCCGTCCTGTGCCACAACCATGAGCAGTGTGCCCTTATATTTCCCGTATAACCATGTTCTGTCAATTTGAATTATAGGTTTACAATATGCAAACCCTTTGATGCATGGTTCAAACGTCCAAAAGACTCTGTGAATAATTCCATTTCCACCAACGCAAGTCCCGTCCGGTGTACACGCAGGCATTGTCTCCAATATCGCAACAGTTCCTGGAGAGTAGTGTCTAAGAGCCACTAGGAATTTTGGAAGTTCCTTGTACGACTCCTCCCAATTCCCAAACACCATTTCAACTGCTTTAGTTCTGGCAATCTAGCCTTTTCGGTATGAGGGAGTGTAATTGTACCTTTGAACCATATGTGCAATTATGGTACTCACCTTCAAAGAAGGGTTGTCGCTAACGACTGACAAAATCTCGTCGCAAATCAATCGAGAGCTGAGTTTGCGATGGTATTGCATTGGATTCGAGATTATACAAGTGTGGGCCGGAACCATTGACCCTATCTTCCAAGAATCGCTTCTCTTCCTGAAAAACGTTGTTACAAAATATAAAAAAAAAAGTGCGCGAATATAGTTGGGGATCAACTGTCCTCGCCCATTTGTATAGCACACTTTGCAAAAATTCCAAAAAAAATCCTGTACTTTTTATGGTTGTGCCTATCTCCTGCAAGCGTGGGGTTGGTCTAGGATGTCAACGCTTGCTCCAATAAACCGGAATCCTTTTACATTTCCGTACGCCAACAAGTAAGTTTCTTTTCAAGATTATTTACCTTTAATTTGTCTAACTTATATGCATAAACTTGTATATCTCTTTCTAACATATTTGTCCACCTTCATTGTAGTTTGTATGGATGTCGTACGAGGGTCTCGACCACCAGCCCGACCCCAATGATGCTGCTGTGTGGACATCAAGAACACCCATAATTAGGTTCACTACGGTGGAGATGCACCAAAGTGACCGGGTGAAGCTACAATTTGGGATGTATCAGGATATTACAGATGCTCTGGTAGAATTAGGGCAGTGGCATCAAAAGTGGGTGGACTCATAGTGGAGTGTCAGTCATTGGAAGGAGTTTGCGAAGGAGTTGTGTAAACACTGGAAAAGAAGAAGGCAGCACGTCTTGACCGGTCATATTGTGCACGAGGTTAGGCCAAGTCTTCAATATATGACTTGGTTTAGGTCTGTCACGACACCTCAGTCATTTCTGTTCAAGCCAACCTATTTGGTTGACCCAAGGCAACACGCTTCTTCATCCAACACACAACAACAGTCCAGTGCCCAAAATCAGCCTTACCATAACCCATACCAGCCTTACCATGACCCCTATCAACCACCATACCATGACCCATACATGCCACCCACCCAGTCCCAGCCTCAACCACCATACCATTATAGCCGTAATACGTCTTTTGAGCCTACCCCCTCCGCCTATAGCCCAGACAACTGATTTGACCCTACCCCCTCCAACAATCCACTGTTTGACTACCACACCCCACAACAACCAACACACCATTTCTAATCCAACTCAATGTACCAATTCGGACAACCATACCATCTATACTCCACTCAACCTCCCAGACCATCCTACGAAAACATGGGCATTGGGCTAAACTATGGAAGTGCCATTGATAGTGGACCTCCCGGCTATTGGGGTCAAATGCTGCAAAATCTATATGATACATCGGGGCCGTCCCAACCATACCCTCCTCCATAACTCAACACACAAAGGCCGGACACACCACAACAACCTCATCGTAAACCTCGTCGCAACGCGCATCCCCCGCAATGTGGCACCGGTGGTCACTTGGATAGAGTCGGTCATTAGTTTTTTTTTGTACAATTGTAATTGTAATTTTCATTAGATTGTAAATTAATATATTTTATTATTTCTATATTTTTTTTAACATTTCTATATTTTAATATTTTCTTAAGGTTATTTAAATTTCAATTAATTATGAAAAACAAACAACATAATTTAATAACAAATATTTATTAATATCTAATTAAAATATTTATAAATTTAATAAAAAAAAATTTAATGTTATTACCATTTAAATATTTACACAAACTTAATCTTTAAATAATTTATTAAAACATTTACATAAACTATAAAAAATAATTAAAATTAAAAATTAAAACATTAATTAAAAATACAAAAAAGTAATTAAGTTTAATTAAGGCTAAATTTATTTTATAAATTTAATCTTATTTTTAATTAAACTTAAACTTATTAAAATTAATTTAAGAATTAATCATAATTAAATTTTAATTA